GGCGAGCCATACAGCTCGCCAGCAGGACAAACATCGGGGAGGGCGGGCTGAAGGCTACGGGGTGATCTCCCTCACTGGGAGGATCCACACATGGCTGACAGCCCGCCCCCCGCAGCTGCTCAACACCCAGGTGGGGTGGAGCGGAGGCGCGTCAGGGCCGTCGCACCAGACAGCAGGCCCTCCTGCACGCCGTGCAGCTATACCCTCGACAACCTAGCGCCTCGGCCGTTGCAGGCGGCGCCTGCACGAGTGAGCGCCAGCACTCCGCGTGGAGAAAGATGGCAGGGCGGGCGCTCGAGAAAACAGGCCACTGCGAGCGCAGAGGCAAGCTGGCATAGGCAGCCTGCTCAGAACAGCAGGCCGCCGAACGCCCAGCTACCCCTCCTCAGTCCGAGCCCCCCTCGGTCCACGCCCCCTCGTCACGAGAAGCATCCTCTGCGTGCAGCCGCGCACGGACAGGCTGGGGCACAGGCTTGCTCTTCGGGATGAAGAGGAGGAGGAGGAGGAGGAAGAGGAGGAGGAGGAGGAGGAGACATGTTCTAACATGCCATGCCAGCCCGCACTGGACGGGCACGCAATCGACCTTGAAAACCGCAGAGGGTGTAAAAAACCTGTTTGGGGATACTGCACTCTGGCTATGATTTTTCACGGCAACCAACATACGTATACGAACCAGAACCGCGCGCGCGCCCAAGAAACTCGTATCGCAAGTCGCCAACGAGAGGTGCAAGGGTGGTTTTCTGGAGCTTCCCTGGGGGTGGCAGAGGTTCCTGCGGCGATTCGGTTTTGTGATCTCGGCGCTGTGTCGGGGAGTCCTGCGGTTTATTAGACGGAGCTTCTGTGGTTGCGTAACGCACTGGGCACCCTAACAACACGATCATTGAATTAGAGAAGTGTCTAACATGTAGGAGCATGCTCCAACACATTGTTAAACCATGTTTTCTACATGTTGTGGACATGTTGAACACATGCTTTAGACACCTGGAAACTACACGTCGTTCATTTCTAATCGTGCTCGTTTCTAAGTGTGCTCGTTTCTAATTGTTCCTGGATCCCTAGTGGCCAGGAGAAGGCCCAGGATAGACCAATTAGAAATGCGAGGATCTTGGTCCCCCAAAAATCAATATATATATATATATATATATAAACAAAAAACCTTCGAATGCTTAGGCACGAGCAGTGTGTATACATGTTGTGGACATGTTGAGCACCTGCTTTGGACAACCTGGAACCTACTTGGAAACACGCCTCCTCTCCAGCGGCCGTCGTCCCCGAGCCTGGCGGAGGAGGTGCGGACCAGCGACGCACCGTGCCCGAACCCGCCGTGCCCTCTGCCCCGGGCCGAGCCACGGAGCCTCGCAGGCCGCCCCCATCGCCCCTCCCGGCCGCGCACCTGGGGGCCAAGCCAAGGCGCGACGAGGGCTACGCGGTGTTCACTTCTAACTCTTCGGAGGTCCTTTGATTTTCAGTTCTGATTGCTCTATCCTGGGCCTCTTCCTGGCCACAAGGGGGCCAGGAACAATCAGAAACGAGCACACTTAGAAATGAGCACGATTAGACATGAACGACGTGTATGCCCCTCCCATCGTGCTCAAGGACAACATCCCAGAAATAATCTCGAGCACCCAGCGAATATCGCCTCCCAAGGCCCGGCACGCGAAAACCCTCAGGTCTCGGTATCTTCTTAGTGCTCGAAACTCTTTCTGGTGATCAAAGTGAAAGCAGGTTGGAACAGCATAAGACGAAGGCAAGAAAACCCATCCGGGTCGCACCGGCAGCGCCTCCAAGCTTTACGATATACGAAGCATGGGATGCCGCACGCCGTGCACGGTGGCACGATGCACTTCACAATGGAAAGGCCTCTTTGCTGGAGGGAAATCAGGAGAGCGTGACCGCGACAACTCACATCATAACGAATGTCTGGGCTCCGCGGCGTTTGCACCACAGGAGCGCCAGGAGAAGCAGCGCTGGACAAACAAAACTATTGCAGTCAAGCTCGAGCAATCAATGATGGTGTGCCGTATGCGGTTCACGATGATCTCATACACTCCACTACGTACTCAATTGATCACCATTGCGGGGGAAATGCGATGGAGGGGCCTGTTTGGAGTAGGGAGGTCAGGAAAGCGTGACCACGACAGCTCACATCATAACTAATATCGGCGCTCCGCGGCGTTTGCACCACAGGAGTACCAGGGCGAAGCAGCACGGCGCGAACCAAACTAAAGTAGGCAAGCCGAAGCTGCGGATCAAGAGTGCAGCAAGTCGCGTCAGCAACCGAACGCAAAAAATCTAGGACTTTGGCTTCTAATGGGCATGGATGTTGAGCTCCCGCGTCACCTCCAGCCGTCGTTGGGCCGTCTTGGAGCCTCTTGCACACCTGCTGGGGATGCGGTATTGGGGGCCTTTGGGGTTCGTTTCTGGAGCCGTCGACCATTGCACCGGCGTTTTTAGGAGGGAAGGGAGGGCATCCTTGGAAGAGCGTTCCTCCCACTCCTGCTCCCGCTCCCGCTCCTGCTCCTGCTCCTGCTCCTGCTCCTGCTCCTGCTCCTCCTTCTCCTCGCCACCGTCCTCATCATCATCCCCGTCACGGCTCTCCCAGGTCTGGGGACACGATGGGTCACACGGAACAGTCGACACCCGGAACGCGGAGCCCGCACATCTTCGGCGCTTTTGAAGCCTATTGGGCCGTCTTGGGGCGCTTTTGGGGCCTTTAAGGATGGCGTCAAGACCCGACACGTGGTTGTGCTAAAAATGAATGCTTCCCGAGGGAATGGGACGATTTCGGTCGACCCTCTTGGGGGCCCTCGTGGAGCCCTTTGGGACGCTAAACACATACTAGAATCACGCGCGCGCGCTACGCGCTCGCTTAGGTTCTAGCCGACTCCGTAGTCATTGTCAGTGGGATTTGCACGAAGCTACACACCCGAGTTTACCAAAGGAGAAGTGCCCCGAGCGTAGGCAGCCTTGGCGCGTGGTGCCAGGCCTCCTGAGGGATAACAGCGGGCTCGTGGGGCGGTCATGGAGTCCGTCGACCCCTTTGGGTGCCTCAAGGCGCGTGAGATCTCCACCCCAGATTCCCCCCCCAGACAGGGAGGGGGGGCAGGATGCCGAGGAGGAGCAGGGAGGAGGCGCCATGGCGCTCCGCGCGGCGCTGCTCAAGGCTCTACACTCGCCCACGGCGGCTCGAAGCTCGCTTGCCTTTGGACCAGAGGCTCGCCCCAGGAGCCGTGGGCACCAGGAACCCGTATTGGGTGCATTGGCGCCAATGTCGACACGGACGCACACATCGTAAACGATTTCACTCCAGCGCGCGCCGCCAGAAAGCGCTGCAGAGACACACAGACTCAGACGAACAATGACGCGCATCGCGATATGCAGCTTCCCCGGGTCGAGTGCTGACCCAGTTGGGAGCGAGGATGATAGAAGGAGGCTCGCTGCAGTCGTAAGCAGTCAGCGCGGATCGACTGTAACGACTGAAGGGAGATGGCGGCGTACACCGCTGCAATAACGCGACGGCCCACGCCAGCCAGCAAACAAGCGTTAAACAATCCACTGCGACACCTGTGACGCATATGGTGACTACCTACCAGACCACCCCAACCCAACCCGAAGACCCGAATTTCGGGTTGGGGGGGGTAAGGGTTCCACGCGTGTTTTTGTCGATGTTCCCCGACACCCCCCCCACTGGAAATCGACGGCAAAGTTGAGCCTTCGGGTTGGGTTGGGGCGGTTTGGTGGGCGGTGACATGTGCAGCTCGCACAGCAGGGCCTCCACTGTGGTCGGGCTCTGCGCCCCAAGTCGGAGGAGGAGGAAGAGGAGGAGGAGGAGGAGGAAGAGGAGGAGGAGGAGAAGGAGGAGGAGGAGCAGGAGGAGGAAGAGGAGCAGGAGGATGCCGTGCGGTGCAGCCCTAAGGCGCCCAGGCCACAGACGGGAGGGGCGTGAAGCATGCGCCGATCGCTCGGAAAGCCTCTCGAGGGTGTGCGCGCCCCTGCCAAGGCTCGGGCCGCAGGAGAGGAGGCAGCGAGGGATAAAAGAGGGAGAGGGAGAGAGAGAGAGAGAGAAACAAAACAAAGAGAACGAGAAAGAGGAATAGAGAGAGAGAGAGAACAAAAAAAAATGAGAGAGAGAGAGAGAAACAGAGAGAGAAACAAGGCAAAGAGAACTAGAGAAAGAGAAAGAGAGAGAGAGAGAGAGAAAGAGGGAGAGGGAGAGAGAGAGAGAGAGAGGGAGAAACAAAACAAAGGGAACACAAGAGGTGGAGGAGGAGCAAATTCCTCCGCAGGATTTCCGGTGAGCCCTGGTAACCACCCGCCGAACAAACTTGTCACGGGAAATCGCCATGCATCTCGAAACCGCTTCAGCGTTTCGACTGGCATGGATATTCAGTGTCGAGGAAGTCGGAAACCTTTGAGCAGGCATCGATCTGGGCATTCCTACGCCCAGCCATCCAATTGCCGACGAACTGGCGACCTACTCTCTGGATGGCCACCGTGGCACGGACCAGTCCAGGGTTGGCGCCGTCGTGTTTTCCCTCCTCGTAGCTCCAGTGCCAGACGCTCATGCCCTTTGCTGCATCGTCCGAGAAGATACGCTGGAGCCTGTTTTGTACTAGCATGATCGTCCATTTCCGCTCTGCCAGCTTGTCCTTCCACACGCCGTCCTTAATCCAGTCTGCCTTGGGCGGTTTAGGGATGAGCTTCGCCGCCTCCCTGGCGTAGTCCTCGTCCGGCTCGAAGTCCTCGTGGCCAGAGGCCCCCAGGTACCACAGGACCCTCCGGGCCACGTCTTCCGCAGCCGCCCCAGGGTCCTCGCGCCACTGGCCCGAGAACGTGTGCGGCACGCCGAGCACGGCGACCTCGACCATCATGAGGCACATGCCTCCCTCGGCCTTGCAGCTGAACCTGGGGCGTGGCCAGCCCATCTCGTCGCAGAAGCTCCTCAGGAGGCCCACGTGCTCCCCGCGCCCGCCCTGGCCCTGGGCGCCCTCGAGCAGCTCCAGGCCGGCAGGTGCACCCGCACCCGGCGGTGCGCGCGGCAGCGCCGCGGGGCCGCGCCGGGGCAGCAGCCTCCGCGGCCAGGGCACCCCGGCGGCCAGGCCACGCTCGTCGAGGGCCAGGAGGGGCCGCGGGAGCGAGTCTTCGGGAGGCGGCTGGCGCACGCGCTCTCCCGGCGGCGGGCACCCCAGCGCGCGCCCGGTGAGCGCCGCAGGCCGCGGAGCTACGAACCTGCGCGGGATGGGGACGCTGAACACCACATCTTCTGGAGTCAGCGCCACGTGCCAGGGCTGCTCGTCCCGCAGCCGATCTGCGGCCGCCAACGGTGAGGTGTCGTCCTCCTCCCCGGCTGTCTCGCCACCCGCCTCTCGGCTGCGCGCACGAGAGGGCAGGGGGAGGGGGGAAGGCTTCTTAGACGGAGGCTGCTTCTTAGCAGGCGCTGGCCCTCCATCTATAGACGAGGTGGTCCGCGCCTTCTAATCAGGGGTGCTTCGAAGAAGCCTTATCCCCCTCCCCCTCCCCCCCTCTGCGCGTGGCCGACACCGGCCTTGGCATACAGCTGTAGGGCCCGCTCGGCAGCGTCGCGCCGCGCAAGAGCCTTGGAAGACTTCCAAATTCCAGCCACGTGGTGCGGCATCCCTCTGATGATGAACGCTACCGTGGCACGGAACTCAAGATTCAACTCGGCGACTTCGATGGGTGTATGCACGTGCACCCACCCCCCTCACGGAGAAAGGGGGGAGGTGAGGGTCGCTCTTTTCCTCGAGCAACAAAGGGCTGCAGGATTTCCTGGATCCTCCAGGACAGTCTGATTATATTCTCTATAATCACATATATATGTAAAACTACAAACTTCCCAGCACCTCTCCTTGGGCGCTGGAAGCGGCTCGGCCTCCAGTCGAGAAACGTGAGCCACAGGGAAACCACTTTGTGCTCCCTGAGCAGGCTTCACAACGGCGCTGCCCGCCTAAGCCCATCGCGGGGCTACCCGCAGAGGGCAGGCGCGGGGCAAACCGCAGCCTGTAAAAGAAAGCTCACCTTCGGCTGTCGTAGTGCTTCCTGCGACCATTCTCCTAGCCCTCTCCGTGGATCACCTGAGAGCCTCTGGAACGGTCTCCGCACTCGCTCTTGAACGTCTCGATCCACTTCTGCGCGGCCTCTGGACTGCTGATGTCCTGCAAGCTGAGCTTGGTAAGAGGTCCTCGCGCTGTAGCCATCACTCGCAGCTGCTCGATCTCCTTGGCCTGGCGATCCGACAGAACGCATCCGTGCTTGATCATCCTCGTGACCAGGTCCTCCTTGATCCCTGACACGGCCAGGCTCTTGGCCTTCAAGACAGCTCGCAGCTCAGCTACAAGAAACGTGCTTAAGAGCTTGTGCCTTGCTCCTTTGTCCTGCTGTACACACACGGTCTTGAACTCGGCCTCAGCCCGCGCAGATGGTATACACGTGCTTCCAGAGGCGGGGTCAACCGCACCCTGGAGGAGGAACTTGTCGTAGAAGTCCTTGAAGTAACAACCACACCAGCACCCCAGTAAGAAAGCACTGGCTGCAGTCACCACAACTAGTCCCAACTTCAGGAAGAACCAGAACTCCTCGCTGTCCACGTAGTGGCTGACAGGCGCGGGGCAAACCGCAACCTCGTCAGAACCTCCGTACACTGTCACCTTCTCGCCTGACGCCTTCGTCACGACCTCCGTGAAAACTGCCATTGCGCTCAAGCCCTTCAACTGCTTTCCGAACCTGAGGTTGAGAGTGGTGCAATGCTTCTCGATTGTCGGCCACTCGCTGTACTTCGTGAGCATGTCGGCTGTCATCTTGCTGGTGTCCTCCTTGTGCAGCTCGAACGCCTTGAGACGCAACCGCTCCTGAATCCACAAGTACCTCAACTCCAGGTGCCTGACCTTGCCCACCCCAACTCGACTGCACATGCCACGTCCAGCTGTGCTGTCACTATAGATCTTCAGGTTGCAGGGCCTCTGGGTCTCGATCAGGTACGTCTTACACTGAAGTCCTCTGGCTGTCGCACTTCCCGTAGCGTACATCTCGGATTCCCCTGAACTTAGGGCTATCGTACTCTGCGTCACTGAGTAGCAGTCCCAAGTGTGATCACCATACCTCACAGCTCCTCCACTGGTAGATCGCCGCTGTAGTTCACTCGTAGGTGCCCAATCTGCGTCACCATCTACACGAATGCCTTCAGGAGTACCTTGAAGTGGGTAACACCAGACCAACACAGGCTGTCCTTCGTAGTACCTTCCAAGTCGCTGAACACGCGCATGCATCAAGACGTTCGGGTTGGAGACGTGCTGCATCGCTGTCTTGCTGGCGTACATCGTGTCGGGCCTGTCCGAAGAAAGGTAAAGAGCGGTGCCAGCTGCACCCGCCACTTCTCGAGCACGATCCTTGGAAAGAAGGTCTAGGCTGTCTCGTCGGCCTTGTCCTGTAGCTTTCGTCCCTGGAGTGGGAGCTGGTTTACAACCTCGCTTCTGCGTCCACTTGATCATGAAGTCCACATGCTTAGGATCGGCAGTCCAGAAGAAACCTGGCTCCTCGCAACCTGGCAACTTGTCGGTGTAGCCGATCGTCCTCTTGAGGTATGTAGTCTGCCCCACCGCTCCTGGTCCAAGTCTGGCGCTGGCCGTGACCTCAAACTGCTGCTTCAACAACTCGTCCAGCTCGTCCAGCTGCTCGTCGTAGCCCTCAGCAAGAAAGTCATCGCCATGGCAGATCGCTGTGCTATCCTCGTCGAAGGGGGCTGTGTTGGGGCTAGCAGGTAAGTAGAACACGTTAGGAGTTCCAACCAAGCATTCCCAATGGCCGTCGTCCATAGTAGTTCTCACAAGCTCACCCCACATCTGCGACGCCTTCCTGGTACCGTTCATGGCCTTGCGTAACCACCAGCACCTTCCAGGCGGACACAGCTCTCTCCCAGGATGCACGTAGATCGTCTCGTCTAAGTCAGCGTTGAAGAAAGCCTTCCTGACGTCCCAGACTTGTATCTTCCGCAGGTGCTGCCCGCTGGAAGTTGGACTTGAAGCGGCACGGCTCAGCGTCGCTCTGACGATCATGAGCGGGGGCGTGCCTTGGTGGTTGTCCTCCCTGACCTCGTACTTGTTCACCTCGGTTGCTACGAACCTCCACCTGACCTTTCCTTCTTTCATGTGGGCTATCGGGAACCCTCCAATGTGCTTGCCGTCGGTCGCCGTCGATGTCGCCACTTCCACGTAGACCCCATAGTCCTTCATGGCCTGCAGCTCGTCGTCGCGACCCTTCTGATACAGGTCCTCATCCAGAGGCTCTCCAGTGTAGTAATCGTAGTGTATCGTCTTTGGGCTCCACTGGTCTTTCTCATGCAGCTCGGCGCTCACCTCAACCATCTGCTCCACCTGCTGCTCCTCAGGATCTCCGAAGTGGCTCCTGATTGTGCCGATGTGGCTCATCAAACATCTCCTGCATGCACACTCAGCTTGGTGGCATTCTCGTAGCTGGCATCGTGATGAGTGCTTCTCACACCTCTCGGAACATCTCGCACTGCGCTTTGGGTGTGGATCCCACATGGGGTCGAAGCTCTCGTCGTAGCCCTCCTCGCAGACTGCCAACTCACAGACAGAGAGATGCCCAATGCTTGCTACCCTGGGCTTCTTGACCTCAGCTCCTTCATGAACTTCACCTGGGGCGCTTCGCCGAAAGTCGCTCCTGAGCTCTCCACTCTCCGTGTCCATGGCTGTCTGCACCTCAGCCTCTCCTGGGCCAGGAACCATAGCTACGTCACTGGCAGCAGGTGCGGGGCTCACCGCAACCTCACTGCTGCTTGATGCCGCTGCTCCTCCGGGTGCGGCTCCAGGCGCGGGGCTTCCCGCAGCCGGCGCTGGCACCACGACTGTAGCCTCAGGGGCCACAGGGTCCTTCGCCAACTTCTCGCGCAGCAAGTCGGCCTGAATGGTCTCGAAACGCTGTCGGCAGGCTGCCGAATGCGAACCGTATCCTGTACTGCACTTCCTGCAATCGTCGGTAGGACCATGAGCATCGATCATGCGCTCCGTGATGTACATGCTGCGTCCGATCGTTCCTGAACTCTTGTCGGGCGTCTGCTTCCAGGGCGTCACCCTGATGTGCTGGATGAGCTCGGGCTGCCACCTGAACTCCTCAGGCATCCTTCGCACCGTTCTCACCTTCTGCACTCCACGTTCAGGATCGATCACGAGATGTGTGTCGTCCAGCTCGCTCTTACCAACCCAGATTCCTTTTGCGAAGCGGGCTTCCCATTTGCCACGTCCCGCGGCAACTCGGGCTGAGATCCGATACCAGACCTGCTCACCCATCTCCGCAATCTCGCCGTTGTACTCTTTGCCGTAGAGCATCTTGTAGGAGGAACCTCCGTGACTGCGAGGCTGGAATCTGGTGATCATCCACCCCACTGAGTTCACAAGCCATGGCACGATCGGATCCGTCATCTTGATCTCGCTGCCCAGCTTGTGCTCCAGCTTCAGCTTGTAGGCTCGAAGTAGACCAGCAGCTAGCTTGTTACCTCCTTCAGCGTAGCCTGCACTCTGCTTGGAAAAGGGCGGTGATCCCCGCACCAAGGTTGAGTGTGATCTGCGATCTCGAACTGCCTGCGCCAGAGCCATGGTGGCAGGCTCCTGGTCTGTCTGAAGTATGACTGTTGTGTGACCCCAAGCTTCCAGCACGCCTAGCAGGAAGGACACCTTGTAGTCATCCGTCTCCTTGTTCGCGTACAACGTCGCCTGAGCCAAGATCTTACAGTCGATAACATTCAAGACAGAGACCGCTTGGTCTAACTCAGCCTTCGTGACCGACGTCTTCTCCCTGATGCTGAAGTAACCTCCTTTAAGCTTGTACTTCGCAGCCAGCTGGTCCGTCCCTACGTAAAAGATGTCGAACACCACCTTCGGGATCTTGTTCTCATCAGCTGGTTCCTGAGCGTGGTGGGGGTCATCGTCTGCTCGAGCCTGCACGCAGATGGGACACCAAGGTCGAAAAGGTAGATGATGCCCTTCGTGCGCGGCTCTCTCCGCAGCACTAGGTTGGTGAGGAGTCTTCAACACTCTCGTTGGCACAGTTGTGGTCTCATCAGCTTCGGGACCTAGAACCTTCGGCAAAGCTCCAGCTTCCTGTTCAGCTGGTACCTTCCTTGGTAGTGTCTTTCGTACCGCAGCTACCTTTGAAGCTTCTGGTTGAGTCTGGCCGTCGATGATGTGATCGTACTCTAAGTAGTAGTTGCCTTGGTGACGACGTAGAGGTACGAACTCAGCTCCATCAGGTGGCTCGATGGTACCGTTGATGATCCAGTGACCTGCAGGGCTATGAAGAACACTCTGACCACGTTGTACTACAGCGTCTGTAGCCACAACTGGGTACTCCACATCGGCAACCTCAGCACCGACTTGAATAACCTCTCCTCCTCGGGATAGGTTCAGCTCCACGTGGCCGTACCTCTCGATCTCCTCGCCTCCTATGCCCTTCAAGCCGACAACGTTGCTGTCCGTCGGCGTGTAGTTGTGCTTGGTCACCTGTGACCTCGGTATCGCACTGATCTGCGCACCTGAATCGAGCATGATCGCATTCCGAAGCGGGGCTAACCGCAATCGGTCATCCGCAGGGCTCTGATCTTCATCCACGGGCCGAAGACCAGCGATGGTAACAGGCCTGGGTCCGGCCAGCGCGGGGCTCACCGCAGCTGGCATATCGCAGCACTGACGGTCGTCAGCGACGAATCTAGCCTTTCTTGCGCTTCTTTGGCTTCTTGTCGTCGTCTGTCTCTTCCCCGTCCTTGAGGCCGTCCAGGCAGTACTCGGCACACACGGCACAGTAGTCCAGCTTCCACTGATCGTAGTGCCATCGCCGTCCTTCAAAGGTCTTCTTGCAAGAGCAGCACACATATTGGTAGTAGCTAGGCAAGCAGTACTTCCAGTCGATCGTGTGGCTGCGCTTCTTGTGACCTCTGCCCTCAGGGCAAGAATCATCTTCGCTCGCAGCGCACAGTTGACTGGGCGCAGCACCTGCTGAGTCATCGCGCTGTCGGCGCTTCCCTGACTTCCTAGCATCTGTTGTGTCGGTGCTGTCGAGCTTGATCCTGTGCCCACTCCTGTCTGTCGTAACCTTTCGAGCTCCCTGACTGCCGCTGCCCCGATCTTCTTCTTTTCTTTTGCCTTTTCTTTTCGGAACTGCTTCTTGTCCTTCTTGTCCTTCTCGGGTGTCTTCTTCTCGTCGGCGATCCGCTTTCGGCAGTTTGCGCTGCGGTGACCCTTCTTGTGGCAGTAGTGGCACTCGATCTCGGCGTCGGGATTCGGTGGCTTCTCCTTGCCTTTTCCGTCTTTCCCTTTGCCGCGGCCTTTCCACGGTCTCTTTCCGCCCTTCAGCGCTCCGATCTCCATCGGGTCGTCCTGAACCGCTCGCTCTGCCGCCAACGCCGACACCACCTCGGCTCTCAGAAGCTCGTACGTACTTAACCGACTGCTGTTCCGAAACACGTGCTTCTGGAGCTCGTCGTGATCCTTCAGCGCCTTTGTGAGGATGCCGCGCTTGATCAGGTCCGAGACGGGCTCTCCTGCCATCTTCTGGTACCTCGCCATGTCCTCGTCCAGCTTGCTGATGCTCACCATCACGTCTTCCTTGGTGTCGAACTTCGTGTCCGTGAGCTTGGTCCACATCGCCAGCACGTTGCCTGCCTCGCTCGGGTTGTACTCCTTCTGAAGCTTCCTCCAACACTCGGCTCCTTCTCCTACTGGGCTGTTCCTCACGATCAGCTCGCCCACCGAGTCCTCGGGCATGGCCAGGACCAGGCCGTAGTACAACTGCGTGCTGAGTTCTTCCTCCTGCGGGTCCAGGTTGACGTTGTCCACCTCCTGGGCTCCGTCCTCGCACCTTTCCAGAAGATCTCGGTACCTCCGATCCTGGGCGATCAGGTACGCTCTGTACTGGAAGCTGAACGTCTTCCAGCTTGACCTTTGGCCGTCGAACGGCTTCACCTTGTGAAGGATCTTCGGATCCATCATCTCGCCGCGCGGGGCTACCCGCTGCTGCTGAGCCTGCTGCTGAGCCTGCTGCTGACCCTGCAGTTGTCCTCTCATCTCTGCGATCTGCACGTCCCTGTTCTGAAGCTCCTGCCTCATGTTCTGACTCTCCGTCGTCAGCCTCTGAACTTGATCGACCAGTTGCTGCAGCTGCTGCTCCATCTTGGGTGTCGAGCACGTCAGTGACACGCTTCTCCAGCCTCTCGATGTCGCTCGCCAGCTGCCTCTTCACCGCTGCTCGCTCCTCCTGAGTAAGCTTCGCCTTGCTGCCGCACGCCGCAAGCTTCCTAAAAGCGGTCCCTCGTAGCTGGCGGTGCTCACGCGTGTCCGCCGCTCTGCCTCCTCGCTTGTTCGGCTTCTTGGCCTTCAGCGTGGCCTTGCCCTTGCCCTTGTTGGCTGGCTGGCCACCGCTGTCAGAGCGCGGGTCTGACCGCAGCTCTGACCAGCAAGGGGTCCTCTGCTCGGCGGCCGCGTGGATCGTCCCGCTGGCTGCCGGACCCGCGGCGTCGCGCCGCTGGGCCCTCTCGAGGGGCTCTTGGAGCTCGCCTGGGTGCGGAGCGGCCCGCGAACCTCAAGCGAGCTCCGCTACCATGCACGTGCACCCACCCCCCTCACGGAGAAAGGGGGGAGGTGAGGGTCGCTCTTTTCCTCGAGCAACAAAGGGCTGCAGGATTTCCTGGATCCTCCAGGACAGTCTGATTATATTCTCTATAATCACATATATATGTAAAACTACAAACTTCCCAGCAGTGTAGTTTGCAAAGGGTGTGGCTTACAACCAGGACCCTGGGGGGGCGCCCTGGGGGGCGGGCGGGGACCTCGATAGAGTTCTCCGCCGCGCCACGAGGAGACCCGACGAGGACAGTGTCGTGCCCCCCAGACCCCAACGGCGCCGATCACAAACCACACCCCGGCGTAACCACACCCTTTGTAGTCGCCGATCAGCGAGGACGTCTTGGTGCTGAGGTCCCACTGCAGCACTGAGCAGTTCGTGGGAAAGACAAAAGGCGTGGCGGCATCCTGCACGTACTTCTGCAAGTCCTGGATCGGATTCACGTTTCTAGCTCCAATTTTGCGGGAAGGACTGCGTGAAACAACGCCCATGACCACTGTAGGATTCGCGCGGAATTCGAATAGATTGGACACATCGCCAGTGGGGAGCCATCTGAAGAACCAAAGCAACATTTGAGCCAACATGATCGGCCCACGAACGTGGAAATCGATTCGGAAGTGCTAGGGACGGAAACATTTCATAGATGCTACAAGATAGACTGATGCACGTAAAAGGTACGGGCAAGGCACGTGCCAGGGGACGCGCCAGGGGACATGGCAAGGGACATGGCAGGGGACGCGCCACGGAACGGGTAGGGGAAACGCCAGAGTACGAGCCATAGAATGAGCCACAGGACAAGTCAAGCCAAGGAACATGCCACGAGACGCGCCGTGTCGGGGGACGCGCACAGACGTGCCAGTGGACGCGCAAGCCAATAAACACTGGGCGACCTGGACACGTGAAAGCTAGGGCGTCGCTCGAGACAGTCTCAACATATTCTGCAGAGCAAGCGTTTCGCTCTACACATCCCTCAAACTCTGCAAAGCAAGCGGTTGACCTGGGTCATCCCCAACACATGATCAAAACAAACATTTCGCTCGAGAGATCCTGAAGACATGCATTCGCCACCCCACCTCGACCTGATCATTGTACAAAAAAGAATCCGCTGGCCCACCTCAGTGGAGGCACTGAGGACAAACTGACCGACCCAAAGAGAACCCTGGGCCCGCGCCCTGTCAAGGAACATGGCTACAGAGAGGACATATGGCATGGCTCTGCTAACCGGCACAAGATTGATCGAGGCAAGACTCTCGGATGCCGTGGTCCGAGCGTCCTTCTTCAGTTGCCACATGTCGGGTTTCGGGGAAGCAGTTCACTGTGCGTGCGTTCGGTAGGGGCAAGATCGACCGAACACGTCACCCAGGCGGCTCATCATCTTTCACGGTGGGTATGGCGACCCCCCATCCCCGACTTTGTGGTTGTCAGGCTGGACATGACTTCATCGATCGACGAGCCTGGCAATTCAATTATCCACCACCGTGCCCTGGAGGCACGAGTTGGAGCGTCCTCAGGTCCCTTGTTGGATATCATGGAGGATTCTTTCTCTCAGGGGCACGGACCAAACATTGCCTAATCTTCTGGGGCTTGTCGCTGTTCCACTGGGGCGCGTCGCGGCTTGTCGCGTCACGTGTTCGGGCCCCAGAGGGCCTCAAGACGGGTCCAAAGGGTCCCAAGAGGACGCCCAAATGGTCCAAGAGGGATTCGAATCGCCGCATGATCGATCCAAGACGCCACATAATTCTCAACACGGCCATAGTTGCCCCCCATGGCGCCCCAAGAGGCCTCCAAGAGGCCTTCCAGGAGGATTCCAAAAAGCAAACATCATGAATTGTCCTTCGGTATTCTCTGAGACAAAGATTTTGGCGTTCTCGCCTTTTCGGCTTCCCGACGCTCCAAGACGGCCCAGGAGGCCCCCAATACCGCCCCAAGAAGCCTCCAAGAGGGCCGCAAAACGGCCCAAGAAGTCCCAAAGGGGCCCCACGAAACTCCCAAGCGGCCCCCACGAGGCTACCAAGAGGCTCCAAAACTGCCCCCAAAAGGCCCCCGAGAGCGCCCCGAAGAAAGCCCGAGAAGCATCCCTGACGACTCTGACTCGCAACCCAGGGATGGTGGCGGGATGGGCCGAAGGCCATGAGATCCGCCGCCACCTTTTGCATTAGCAAAGGGGTGCCCGGCGTGCCAGACCCTCTCGGTTTTGGTTTTGGTTTTGGTTCTTTTTCCAAAAGGACCCCCCCTGGGGCTTCGGCGCGTCCCGCCGGGGTCCCGCCCGGGAGGATTGCCACGGACCTCAATTCCCAACTTTTTCCTCCAAGACGGCTCAAGAACGTCTCCAAGATGGTCCAACATGGCCTGCAAGTCCGCCCAAGATGATCCAAGACGGCCTCCAAGACGGCCCAAGAGAGTCCAAGACGGCCCAAGACGGCCCCCCAGAGGCCTCCCAGACGACCCAAGAGGCCTCCAAGAGGTCCTCCAGGAGGGCCCGAAGAGGCCAAAATCCGTGATTTTCCTTAGGTTTTTGAAGGGTTTTGGAATTTGCTTCTTCTCGGCATTCCGACTGCTCAAGACGGCCCAAGAGGCCCCAAAGATCGCCCAAGAGGCCCCCAAGAGGGCCCCATGACGGCCCAAGTGGCCTCCAAGATGGCCCCAAGAGGGCCCCAAGACGGCCCAAGAGGCCTCCAACACGCCCAAGATGGCCTCCAAGACGCCCAAGATGGCCTCCAAGACGGCCCCAAAGCGCCCCAAGAGGGTCCCCCGTTGGCCCAGAAAGGCCCCCAAGACGGCTCCCGACGGCGTCAGACGTGCCAGGAACCCACCAAGATGGCCGAAGTTGGCTCGAAGCTGGCCCAAGACGGCCCAAGAGGCCCCCAAGAGGGCCTCCAGGAAGGCCAGAAGAGGCCAAAAACAGTGATTTTCCTTAGATCCTTGACGGATTGTGACATTTCCTTCTTTTCGGCCTTCCGACGGCCCGAAACGGCCCAAGAGCCCCCAAAGATTGCCGAAAGATCGCCCAAGAGGCCTCCAAGATGGCCCCAGAACGGCCCAAGAGGGCCCTAAGACGGCCCCAAGAGGCCCCCAAGATGGCACAGGAGGCCCTTAAGACGCCCAAGATGGCCTCCAAGATGGCCCTGGAGCATTCCAAGAGGGCCACAAGTCGGCTCAGAGAGGCCCCCCAAACGGCTTCCGACGGCGTCAGACGGACCAGGAGCCCACCAAGACGGCCGAACATGTCCCTAAGATGGCCCAAGATGGCCCAAGAGGCCTCCAAGAGGGCCCCCAGGAAGGCCCGAAAAAGCCAAAATCATAAATTGCCGATGGGTTTTTGAAGGATTGTGGCATTTGCGTTTTTTCTGCCTTCCGACGGCCCGAGACGGCCCAAGTGCCCCCAAAGATCGCCCAAGAGGCCCAAGACACGGCCCCAAGAGGCCCCCAAGACGGCCCAAGATGGCCTCCAAGACGGCCCAAGAGTCCTCCAAGACGTCCTGCAAGAAGGCCCGAAAGGGTTAAAATGGCCTCCAGACGGCCAAGATGACCTTCAAGATGCCCACGTGTTCCCCGAAGGCTTTCTAAACCGATTCGGGGAACACATGGTCCGATAGCTTGGCAGGTCTGGCCTCAACGTTCGGCCACTTAGGCGCTTCCAAAAAGGCAGGGGGCGGCGGTGATTCGCCGTAGGCGTCTTCGATCCGCCGCCCCCTGTCGGTTCATCGCAGGGGTGCCTGGCGTGCCAGACTATTACGGTTTTGGTTTTGGTTCTTGTTCCAAAAGAACTCTCCCAATGGGTTTCGGCCCGTCCCGCCGGGGTACCAGGAGGATTGCCAAGGACCTCAATTCCCAAATTTCCTGCCCAAGACGGCTCCAAGATGGCCTCCAAGATGCCTCCAAGACGGCCAGGATGGCCTCCAAGACCGCTAAGATGGCTTTAAGATGCCTCCAAGACGGCCCAAGATGTACCCAAGACGGCCTAAGATAGCCTCAAGATGGCCCAAGGCGGCCCAAGAGGCCCCTAAGAGGCCTCAAGGACAGCCTAAGAGCCCGTCGAGAGGTTCTCCAGGAGGGCCCGAAGAGGCCACAATCACTGATTTCCCTTCAGTTTTTGAAGGATTTTGGCATTTGCTTCTTCTCGGCATTCCGACGGCTAAAGAAGGGCCAAGAGGCCCCCAAGATCGCCCAAGAGGCCCCCAAGAGGGCCCCATGACGGCCCAAGTGGCCTCCAAGATGACCCCAAGAGGGCCCCAAGACGGCCCAAGAGGCCTCCAACACGCCCAAGATGGCCTCCAAGACGCCCAAGATGGCCTCCAAGACGGCCCCAAAGCGCCCCAAGAGGGTCCCCCGTTGGCCCAGAAAGGCCCCCAAGACGGCTCCCGACGGCGTCAGACGTGCCAGGAACCCACCAAGATGGCCGAAGTTGGCTCGAAGCTGGCCCAAGACGGCCCAAGAGGCCCCCAAGAGGGCCTCCAGGAAGGCCAGAAGAGGCCAAAAACATTGATTTTCCTTAGATCTTTGACGGA